TTATTAAAAAAAAAAAAAAAAAAAAAAAAAAAAAAAAAAAAAAAAAAAAAAAAAAAAAAAAAAAAAAAAAAAAAAAAAAAAAAAAAAAAAAGAGGTTCTTTCTAATCATATTGGAAATATATATATATATATATATATATATATATATATATATATATAATTATATATGTATATGAATTTAATTAGAGAAAAAGTGAATAGAGCTTGAAATTAGAGCTCGTTCATTATAAACATAGATTAACGTTTCATCTACAGTCTAGACGGTCAATTTTCTCTACGAACTTTGAAAATACTCTATCCATTCAAATGTTCCATCGAGAAGATAACAAAGATTGTATGATAAAGGTAAAAAGAAAAAGAAAAAGAAAAAGAAAAAAAAAAAAAGGAACAAGAAGTTATATTTCAAAAAGAAATAAAAAAAATACAAAAATACAAAAACAAAAAAATGAAAAACAACAAAAAAATAGAACTGAAAATAAAAATTAACGAGTATAAAGCCGCATATTTACGTATGCATGCATATACGTATGTATGTATGCATGTATGTAGGTATGTATGTATGTATGTTTATGCATACACGCACTCGCGTGAGATTTGAAATTATTTTTACGATTAAACGTTTAGAAAAAAAAATCAACGTCGAATTTTAATTGTCGCCTCGTCTGTGACGCTTTGTAAATAGAAATGACTAACAACAACTTGACTGAAATAATCATATGTTTTCCTTTTCCCATTTTCCCTTTTTAGATCTTTTTTCTCTTCTTTTTTTTCTTTTTCTTTTCTTTTTTTTTCTTTTTTTTTCTTTTTTTTTTTTTATTCCTTTTTTCCGTGACGACCGACGGTTAATGAAAGCTAAGCCGTTAGAAGGTGAACTTTATGTTTCAAGTTCGAACAGATATGCAGCTAAATTTGCCGACAGACGAGAATAAAACAAGAGAGATAGACAGACAGAGACAGAGAGAGAGAGAGAGAGAGAGAGAGAGAGAAAGACAGAGAGAGAACTTTAGTTTTTCACGTATATACATATATATACTTATATATATATATATATGTGTATGCATGTATATATGCACGCACCTATGCATACATGTATGTATCTATGTATGTATGTATATATATATATGTATGTATGTATATATATATATGTATGTACGTATGCATGTATGTATGTTTGTATGTATACTTGCAAAGTGAAAACTTCGTCTAACAGTTAGTGCACGAAACATTTATTTTTTTTTCTTTTTTTCTTTTCTCTCTCTCTTTCCCTCTCTCTCTCTGTCTCTCTCTCTCTCTCTCTCTCTCTCTCTCTCTCTCTCTCTCTCTCTCATTCCCTTTTTCACCTTTTTTATTTTAAGTATAACCAAACGATAAAGTTTAAACTAAACGTACAAGCATCCATCTACGAGATAACACGAGCTTTCAAAATTTGACGAATTCTTTACAAAGTTTGTGTATGTAAAATGTTGATAAGTTATTAGAATTGAAATTTTCTTTTCGTCAAGTACCTTTTCCGTTTTAGAGAAAATAATAAAGAGAAAAAAGAAATAAGAGGAAATGAAAAAAGAGAGAGAGAGAGAGAGAGAGAGAGAACCATATTATTCTAATTAATAAACCTAAACGTTTCATTTGCAATTAAATCAATAAATTGTTTTTTATTTGTTTTTTTGTTTTTTTTCTTTTTGTTTCTTTTTAAGTTCTCAATCGCTTCAATTTCGCCGATTATAATTATAACGATCATTCGTTTATAAAAACTTCCATTAATTTTCCAATCCAAAGTATTGCATAATAATAATAATAATACTAATAATAATAAAAAAGGAAAAAAAAAATATTGCAATAAAAAAAAAAGAAATTACAATCATACTGTGGTAATGAAAATACGAAAATTAATTGAAATTCCAAAGAAAAATTACGACGACAAGCTTCTTCTAATTTCTCAACCTAAAAACGACATCTTCAACAATATCTCTAACAAATTTCTATCATTTTTATTCGTACACGCGTAATTTAATCGACAATAACCGCCTGAACACAATTGGATTTATTTATCGAAAAAAAAAAAAAAAAAAAAAAAAAGAGAGAGAGCGAGAGAAAAGAAAGAAGAAAAAAGAAAAGAGAGAAAAAAAAAAGGAAAAATAAAGAAAACAAACAAAAAGAGTGAGGGAAGGTGGGGGGGGGGGGGGGAAGAAAAAAAGTTTCTCAAAAATTTTTGTTAAGCCCTACCTTTTGAATAGATCCTCGTAGAAAATCGCATGCCTCGGAAAATTTGCCATTTTTGCGTGAAAAATTGATGATCCTCAATATTAGTAGTTACGTAGTAAATTCTTCCGACAAATCTCTTTTCTATTTCTTCTCTTCTATCCCAACTCCCTCCCCCTCCTCCAAACCTCCTTCTCCCCCCCCCCCCCTCCACCCCACCACCTCTCTCTCTCTCTCTCTCTATTCTTCACCAATGTGTACGGTTCGTTTCAAACGAAAAACTTATGTATGTATGTATGTATGTATGTATGTATGTATGTATGTATGTATGTATGTATGTATGTATGTATGTATGTATGTGTGTGTGTATGTATGTATGTATGTATGTATATATGTATATACCTTTTCCAACATTTTTCGCTTACCCAAGACGACAGGTATGCGAAAAATTCAGGTAAACATGTTCGTTTCCATAAGATCAATATTCGTATCTAAGGGATCCATGGAGGATCTTCGCAGTACGCGGTACACAATAGAAGGTTAGGAAGAAAGATTTCGAACGTGAAAGAAGAAAAAGAAATAGGAGAAAAAAGAAAAAGAAGCATCAGCAGGAAGTAAAAGATCTGAAAAGTTCTCGAGGACAACTTGAGGGATACACGGATTTGAAGAATGTTCGTCGTCAGGTTCGTTTTAAAACTTTCTTCACGTTCAAGATTTCGGTACAAACGTATTTTCTATCTTTCTATCTATATCTATCGTTACTACAAGGATTTTAACGTTTCAATTGATAATTTTCCCTTCTCAAATAGGCATCTTAAAATTTATCCCTCGACATATTAGAGATATTGATATATCAAAATGATTTTATCCAATCAGATTAATTATTGAATTAATTTATCAGATTAATTATTGAATTAATCTGATCGGATAAAGTCATTTACGACGATCGGAGCCCCCAAGGGGTATGAATCGTAGTTTGTTTTTCTATACGAAAAATAATTTAAAAAAAAGAGAGAAAAAAGAAAAAAAAAAAAAAAAAAAAGAAGAAACAATTATTCTTTTGAAAGATAAATTTTGTAATAAAGTGTTATCGAGAGTTCATCCTTTTTCGTTGTATTTGTTCTTTCGTTACAAAGACTAAATCTATTTATAAAAAAAAAAAAAAAAAAAAAAAAAAAAAATGTCCAATTGATCTAACGATTTCTATGATTTTGTTCGATCCGATAAAATCTGACTATTATCAAATATCTATACATATATATATATATATATGTATGTATGATTTATTATTTATTATTATTATTATTTTTGTTTAATTTTCTCTTGTTTATATCTTTCATTCCTTATAAAACAAGAATTTCTCCATCAGTTGAAATTAAATTTTAATTTGCCTCTAAAATTTTCCAAATTCGCCCCTCGTAACAAACCACGAGGTAAAGTTCGTGAACGACGAGATCATTAAATAAAGAGTAAGCACCATCACCCACTCCCCAACCTCTCCTTCCTTCCCCACAGGTCCCTCCAACCCCCTTAATTTAAATTGCTGCGCTCCAATATGCTCATCATTATTTTCTGGACTACTCATCTACCTATGAGAATATGTACATACATATGTATGTGTATATATATATATATATATATATATATGTATGTATATATATGTATGTACATACTTAAAATTAGGCGCATTTAATAGTGCTTAGTAGTATATACATATTCTTCATTTTGGATAAATCATTTAACTTTTTTTTAATTTTTTCCCCCTTTTTCTTTTTCCTCTTCTTTTTTTTTTTGCATACATAATACAATTACTTTTTTTTTTGTTTCTTTATATATATATATATATATATATATATATATATATATATATATTTTTTTTTTTTTTTAATTCTTTTTTCATTTCTCACATGTATCTTTCATATTATAAATGTAATCAACATGTAAGCATACAATATTATATTATAATTACAATTATAATATAATGGTATAATTACAATTATAATTATGATGTTACAATTATAATAATTATTATTGTAATTATAAGTATGATATTACAATTATAATTATTATTATATTTATAATTATGATATTACAATTATAATTATTATTATTATTATAATTATGACGTTACAATTATAATAATTATAATTATAATTATGACATTACAATTATAATTATTATTATAATTATAATTATGATATTACAATTATAATTATAATATAATGAAATAATTATAATTATATTATTACAATTATAATTATAAATAATATAATTCATTGCTTTTTTATATATGTAATTATATTGTTAATACTCATATAATAAATCATACTTTGTATTTAAATACACCCTCTCTCTCTCTCTTTCGCTCTTTAACTTTCTTTAAATAAGTAAAAAATAATAAGAACTTTAAATGAAGTAAAAAATTTTAACAAATATAATCAATCAATGTATGACGATATATAATAATTATATTCAAAAATAAATATAATTATATTTAAATAAATGTAATTATAAATCATTACATTTATATGCATCATCTATTCTGTGTTCTAATACATATTCTCTCTCTCTCTCTCTCTCTCTCTCTCTCTCTCTCTCTCTCTCTCTCTCTCTCTCTCTCTCTTTCGCCCTTTTTCTTTCTCTATCTCTCTTTCTCTCACCCATACACACCTCTCTTTTTCTTTCTCTATCTCTCTTTCTCTCACCCATACACTCTCTCTCTCTCTCTCTCTCTCTCTCTCTCTCTCTTGGACTTTCTATCAACGTTGTTTTGATCTTCCTATCCCTCCCGGTCCCTCCCACATGATCACAAATCATTTTTCATGTCAGATCCTTGATCGATACGAAGAAGTTGGTACTTTAAGAAAAGAAAAGCAAAAGAGAACGTTATAGCCATATATAGCTCTGCCCTCCATGGCTCATTTATCCTTCTTTTTCTCAACGTTCTCCAACCGAGACGAGATCTCACAGCCCCGATGAAAATGTCAAAGTGGTAAAAGGGTGAGTGGTCGTCGACACGTAGACGTTCAACGTCACGGACATAGTCGTCGTGTCGTCGTCTTCGTCTTCGTCTTCGTCGTCTTCGTCTTCGTCTTCGTCGTCTTCGTCGTCTTCGTCGTCGTCGTCGTCGTAGTAGTCGTAGTAGTTGTCGTTGTCGTTGTCGTTGTCGTTGTCGTTGTCGTTGTCGTAGTCGTAGTCGTCGTCGTGTCGCGTCGTCACCACCGACGTGGATGGATGTCGTCGATGTCGTCGACAAGACGACCTAATTAAGACGCCAACTCGTTCTAGATGGTAATTGCCATGACTCCGTACGTCATACATATTTAAACGTCCGTCCAATGGCCTTCGCCCGTGCGTTCTTATCCTTGACGTTCTCAAAAAAAAAACAAAAAGACAAAAAAATAACAAAAAAAAAATAATAAATAAATAAATAAATAAATTAAAAAATAATAGTAATAAAGATATAAGGAAACGCGGAAAAAGTGAAGGGGAGAAAAAATCTTGTTTCTTTTATCTTTTTTTTTTATCTCTCTCTCTCTCTCTCTCTCTATCTCTCTATCTCTCATTCTCCCTCTTTTTCTCTTTTTTTCACGCTCTCTTTTCGACGCATTTCTTTAATTTATTTTCGCCGATCAATTATGCGGATATAATTCTGCGAATTATTTTAATTATTTTAAAGGCTATCGAATGATAATATTTGTTAGATAAAATGTGTTCTTCTTTTAAATAAATAAATTAATCAAATAAATAAATTAATTAAATAAATTGATTAATTATAATAGATAAATAAAATAAGTAGATAAACAAATTAATTATGTTAATTAATTAATTAACTAAATAAAGAAATTCGTTAAATAATTAGATAAAAAAAATTAAATAAATAAATTAATTAATTAATTAATCCTATTGGTTAAATAAATGAAATAAATAAATGAAATAAATAAATAAATAAATAAATAAATAAATAAATAAATATATAAATAAAAAACAAATTATCAATATCAATTTTGTATCGTTTTCTCTGATACTAAATCTCTTTCTCTCTCGCACGATATCTCTTTCGTCGGTTTCTTTCCAACGCATTGAACGCCATGAGGATGAGAAATATTAATTTTTCGGACTATAGGAAATATTTGGAAAATTTTACGAACGAAAATATTCTTTAGAATAATATTTATTTATTTACCAAAATAAAAAAAAAAAATAGAAAAAAAAAAAAAAGAAAAATATTGTCGATATCAGTTTCATATCGTTTCCTCTGATTCTATCTCTCTCTCTCCCTTCCTCTCTCTCTATCTCTCTCTCTCTCTCTCTCTCTCTCTCTCTCTCTAATTCTATTTCAACGACTCTATCACGATCCTTTGCTTTGTGTGTTTCAACCATGAATCGAATGATATTTCCATTAGGGAAAGCGTAATGTGCGAAACAACGATGTCGCACATTTAATTTCGCGAACGAACTAATGATGGATTATTGCGCAGCCCGTTTATTTGCACGAAACAACGTACTACTCACACCAACACAACCACATCCAATCCTCTCCCAACACACTTACCGAACAATCCCTACTACATATAATCAACCCAATATAACGTTCGTATGTATTTGCGCTCAATAGTATTTTAGAATTCGATGATTTATCTAATATTACGATTGATTCGAATTCTATTTCGTTGATTATTAAAGTCCAAAATTATTTCTTTTCTTGTATTAATTTGATTGACACGATATTTTTTTCATTTTTTTTTTTCTTTTTCCTTTTTTCTCTTTTTTTGTTTTTCCATTAATATTTTTCCTTCTTTAAAGAATCGATAAAAAGATCGACATTTTGTTTTTTAATTGACAACAAATCTCACACGTGCATATATATGTAAATATATATATATATATATATTTTTTTTTTTTTCTAATAAAATCTTATTCTTAAAAAATTATTATTACAGAATAATTATTTTCAATGAGAATAATTCTTCAGAAAAAAAAAAGAAAAAAAAAAAATAAAACAAAAATGAGGTAAGAAAAAATTCTTTCATATCAACGTAAACGATCGTATTTACACGAATTGAATTATTCGCATAAATTATTCTTAAGATGACATTAATTTGATAATAATGAAGAAATTTATTATTTAAAATAAATTGAAAGAAAGAAAGAAAAAAAAAAAAGAAAAAAAAAAAATAAGAAAATAGAAATAAGAAACAAAAAGTATATTCCTAGCATTGAAAAATCAATTGAACAAAAATCCCTGAATATTTATACTTTATCGAACGAATTAATTCAATTTATTTTATAATCGTCGGAAATATACAAAGAGGAAGAATGGTAAATAAATAAATGAGTATACAAATAAACGAATAAATGTTCAAACTGAAACAACTACTGTCCAATGTATTCTGTCTGACCAATTCGATACACGATTACTACATTTTAGGCCGTTGTTTTCATGACTGACAGATACAGCACCGAAATTAGCCTTGCGGCCGCTAAGTATCGACCATGAAACGGAATTATCGTCGACGAATGTACACATTCACGAACGATTTAACAAGAACTCTAATTATCGTATATAATTGGAGTATACAAATATACAAATATAAGTATAAATATATATATATATATAATTTTTTTTTCGGATATACATACACGGTATAAAAAAAAAAAAGAAAAAAAAAAAGAAAAAAAAAATGATTTTCGATAGAAACATAATATTTTTTTTATGCTTCCCATTTTATCTCTAACGAATTATCGAAATTTAAAAGATTTCTCAATCAATTTCCCATATTATTCTCATAAAATTTTTTTATACGATCGTACACACACATATATATATATATATATATATATATATATATATATAAATATATATATAGAGAGAGAGAAAAAGAAAAAAAAATTATATACTACTATAACATTTGCGTTAATACTCGTAACAGAAATATATCGCCCTTTAAAAGAGCAGAAGAAAAAAGAAAATTAAAAAAGGAAAAAGAAAAAAAAACAATTAAAAGAAAGAAAGAAGAAAAATAAACAAAGATTTAAATAAAACAAAAAAAAAAAAAAAAAAAAAAGAAAGAAAAAAATTATAAGTCACGAGATTATAAAAATAATTATCATGCGTTTGCACGCAGAGCTCTTGAAAATAATCCGTAAATTGTGATAACTACCGCTATCAACTCAACTTTTTATCTACTCCGATAACCACACCACCTCTCCACCCTCCATCCTACACCCATCATTCTCCATCCACCAACAACATCGCCATTTTTCCATCTCCCATATTCCCTCATTTCTCTCCGTAATTCTTCTCTCGCTGTTTCAGCACTGCTCGTCAACCATGTCTTTCTGTCTTTCTGTCTTTCTGTCTTTCTGTCTATCCATCTATCTATCTATCTATCTCTCTCTCTCTCCCTCTCTCTCTCTCTCTCTCTCTCTCTCTCTCTCTCTCCCCTCAGTTGTATGCTATTTCTTTCTATTTGTTTTGTTTTATTACGAAACGTGGTCCACGAGCTATCGGTAAATAAACGAAAGGAAAGGAAAATAACAAGTTTTCAGTTTCGTTTTAGTCGCTTCGCGAACGAAAAGATCTGATAAAAATAAATCGACAATAGGAGAAGTGGAAAGAGGATAAAGAAGACAAGAGAAGAGAAGCGGGATATTCTAGAAAATTTTTACAGATTAATACAGATTTCAAATTTTTCTATTGTTTTGATCAGATTCTGTGTGAGTATAGGTATATATATATATATATTTTTTTTTTATATATGTAATATATATGATATTATATATTTTATATATTTTATATATGTAATATATGTCATATATTTTATATATTATATATATATATATTATAATTTATTATATAATTTGCAATATAATATATAGATATAATATATAGATATACGTTTTATATATTTTATTTGTTATAATACATTTACACCGTAGTATATCACTTTTATATAAATTATTGATATAATAAAATTATCCTATAGTATAATATAAGATAGTTATACTGTATTATAATATACCATTTATAATATTTATTATTATTATTATTACCGTTGTCATTATCATTATTATAACATTAATTATATAGGAAATTAGAAAATAATGATTATAATAATGCTTACTCACGTAATATAACTTTCTTGTTTTTTTTTCTTTTTTTGTAGATACGAATGAAAATTCAAATGAAAAAATAATTACTTTCGAGCGAGTGAAATAATTTAAAAACAAAATAAAAGAGTAAAAAAAAAAAAAAAAAAAAAAAGAAAAAGAAGAAGAAAGAAAGAAAAAAACAGAATAGAAAGGAAAGTGGTAAGGGAGGGAGGGGGAGGGAGGGGGGGCGTAGGTGAAGAGAGGGAATAAAAAAGGAAGGAAAAACAAAAGATAAGATAGAAAGATAATATTCACTTTCGAAGATGGAACAAATTTTGCAGTCTTGTAAAACCTCATGAGAGAAAAGAAAAGAGAAGAGGAAGAAGTAAAAAAAAAAAAAATGTGACTGTTAATTATCTAAAATGGCAAAGCAAAACGGAACTCCTGTAAAAGTTCTCCGAGTCATAAGGGAAAAAGAAAGAAAGAGAAAGGGAGAAAGATGAGAGAAAGATTAAGAGAAAAAGAGAGAGATAGAGAGAAAGAGAATGTGAGAGAAAGAGAGAGAATGTGAGAGAAAGAGAGAGAATGTGAGTGAAAGAGAAAGAATGTGTGTTTATGTGTGTGTGTGTGTAAGAAAGAGAGAGAGAGAGAGAGAGAGAGAGAGAAAGAGAGAGAGAAAAGACCCTTCTGGTCCTTTTAACTTAATGATTCGTATCAAACCGTTCGAGGCAAGTAAGGGAGACGTCGACCTCGTTATGAAAGTCGAGTGAGAAGGGTGAATTCAGAGTAAGGATAAAGGTGCACACTCATGTCTCAGCGATTTTAAGTGCCGGCCATCGAATGTGCTTCTTAGAGGGTTGAACCGGAAGGAAGGGAAGGGAAGGGAAAGGAAGGGAAGATAAGGGAAGAGAGAAGGGTAAGGAAGGATAGGGAAGGGAAGGGAAAGGAAAAAACAAGAATTCTACAAGACCCTTCTCTCTCTCTCTCTCTCTCTCTCTCTCTCTCTCTCTCTCTCTCTCTCTCTCTCTCTCTCTCTCTCTCTCTCTCTCTCTTTTCTTTGAGTTTATCACAAAAAATTACCTATGACATGAAGAACTTATTCATAATTCTAATTCCAATTAATATTCTAATTTGTCTAAAATTTAATTTAAAAAATTTAATTTTTTATCAATATATTATGATATAGTAATTTTCGTTTAACGAACCATTGGAAGTTTGTATGTGATTGTATAGAAACATATATTAAATGTTTCTAGATTGTATGTTAAT